GTGGATTTAACCTCAAGACTAAAATTGTAAACTAGTTAGTATATTAGCTTAAATTTTAGAATTTATATTAGAATAAAAATCACTGTCCTGTTAATTGCATTTGTTCAAATAAACAGTAGGATTAATTTAAATCAATAATTGATAATATGATATCATGAGAACGATAATTTGGACTTTTTAAATGCACTTTAGTACGATTTTGACGATATTGTACACCAATTATGCCTATGATTGTCTTTCATTTTTTCAAAATTCTTTTTCTATGTATTTATATTAAACAATAAAATATTCTACACGTAAATCCAAAAAAATTTCCCACTTTTTCCCATACTTCCTTAAAAAAATTCACTATTTAAAATAATTTTTTTAAAAAAAACTGGCGACCAAACAGGGGTTATGTTTAACCGTTCAAACTTTTGTCACCTTAAACACACAAGGCAAGAATAGAATAAGCATTTGTTTGTTATTGATTAAAATTTAAATTAAAATCAATAACTTGTTGACCTATGATTCAATATAACTGCACTTGTTTTGATTATAACAAAAATACACTTATATCTCTAACAAATTTTGTTTCTTGAGTTTTTCATGAATATATCTTCTTAATCATTTAAAGATTCAAATCATCACCCTTTGAAAAACAAGCAATCAAATGAGACTCAAAGAGAACATGAACAAGAACTTTGAAGTATAGATCTTAGAAGTAGTTTATCGGAACTTAATTGCAAATGTATTAACTCATTGATTCTTAGCAAGTGCATAAAAACTCAAATTATTTTCATAATCCATCACTTGCACAAAAATATTTTTCATTCATAATATGAAATAGATTTTGAAAAAGCAATTAAAAAAAATCAACTTTCGATCAACCGAAATTGCACGAATGATCAATCGAAATTCCAACGGTTTGATTCCCCAACGACTATATTGACACTTTCGGTCAATCGAAAGTGACTGGTTGGACCTCCTTTGCTCTATAAATATCTATATCTTCTTGCATTTAATTTTAACAACTTACAAGAGAAATTTAGAGAATTTATTTATTGAAGATCATTGAGTT